TCAAGTTGCTGTGGCCCTAAGAAGCAGCAAAGCATATGTAAAAGCTGAACTGTTCCATTACTCTGTAGTCAGGAAGAAAAGGACAAGGCTTTATATATGAGACTATGGTGATGTGCTGGCCTTAAATATACAGACGTAAAAAGCTTTCAACATTTGAACTACTATTCACCTAGAATCAGAGTATAACTCCTTGTTATCCAAGTGGTCCTAGAACAAATATCTAGGCTATAAAAATCAATTTCCGGGCCCGGCGCGGTGGCGCAAGTGGTTAAAGGTCCTCGCCTTGCACGCCCGGGATCCCATATGGGCGCCGGTTCTAATCCCGGCAGCCCCGCTTCCCTTCCAGCTCCCTGCCTGTGGCCCGGGAAAGCAGTCGAGGACGGCCCAAAGCTTTGGGACCCTGCACCCGCGTGGGAGACCCGGAGGAGGCTCCTGGCTTCGGATCGGCATAGTATCGGCCCGTGGCGCTCACTTGGGGAGTGAATCATCGGACGGAAGATCTTCCTCTCTGTCTCTCCTCTCTGTATATCCGCCTTTCCAATGAAAAAAATAATAAAAAATAAATCTTTAAAAAAAAAAATCAATTTCCACTCTATAAGTCAAAGGGGAGGCTTCATTGAGATGTTATGTAACAAACATGAGCTTATTCACTAGCATACCCATGGTTCTCCCCAACTCTCATTACAAGATCAACCCTAGCACATTGGGTTTCCCAGGTTCTGTTATAATCTCATTGCAAACTGGGTTTAGGCATTGCCAGTATTAGAGAGGAATTGGCCAGGTCCTCTAGACAAAGTTAAAGGTAGCATAAAACAAGTGATATTTCAATGAGAAAGCAATGAAGCGACAGCACTTGGTCCAGGAGCTAGGTCAAAGTTGGAATGCCTGTGTTTCAAATTGGAGTGCCTGGGTGTTGTCCCCAGTTCCAGCTTGCTGCTATTGCTAACCCTTGGATGGCACTGGTGGCTCCAATGACAGCTGCTTGCTGTCCATGTGGGAGACCTACTTGGCTTCCTAGATCCTAACTTCAGCCTCATTTGGCCATGGTGGTTGATCAGGGATTGAACCAGCAGACTGAGTGTTCCATAAGTTCTGGAACATGCTTTAACAACACAAAGACTTTAAAGAAGACATCAAGAGAAAAATGCAAAACAATGTGGACAGTTTGTCCAGGAAAAGAATTCATGCTCAGTCTTGGGAAAACAGAGGAAATACAGCAGCTAGCAGATTTGCTCATCAGAAGTAGGAAAGAAAAAGTAACTCTTGAAATAATCTTTTGTTTTTAAAGATTTCTTTGAAAGGGAGGGACACAGACAAATAGAAAAGGAGCAGAGCCAGATGGCGAGAGGGAGCAAGAGCCAGAGCTGGAACCAAAGACAGGACCAGAGACTGAAATAGAAAGACAGATGTTGAAAGAGACATTGAGAGCACAAATCAGCAACGGACACAGACTGGGCCAGTGATAGAGCCAGAGAGAGAGACACAGAGAATCAATGAGAGGGACAATCAGAGAATGACCCAGAGAGAAGTTAGCTCAGAGTAACAGAGCCAGAGGGCAAAGCAGAGAGAATGGGAGGGAAGGAGAGGCCGAGAGGCAGAGACAGGCCAAGAGGCCGCCAGAGACAGGCCAAGAGGCCACCAGAGACAGGCCAAGACAGGCCAAGAGGCCGACAGAGACAGGCCAAGAGGCCGACAGAGACAGGCCAAGAGGCTGACAGAGACAGGCCAAGACAGGCCAAGAGACAGGCTGAGGGGCTGCCAGAGACAGGCCAAGAGACAGGCCGAGAGGCTGACAGAGAGAGGCCGAGAGGCTGACAGAGACAGGCCAACAGAGAGAGGCTGAGAGGCCAACAGAGAGGCCGACAGGCCAGCAGAGAGAGCAAGACCAAGAGAGAGAGGCCAACGGGCCAACAGGCTGCCAGAGACAGGCCAAGAGGCCAAGAGAGAGGCGGGGGCAGAGACAGAGAGAAAAGGGCAGAGAGAGAGAGAGAGAGAGGCAGCCAGACGGCCAGGCCGAAGGGCCAAGGGGCCGGCAGACAGGTCAAGGGGCCAAGGGGCCGAGGAGCCGAGAGAGAGATAGAGAAAGAGAGGCAGAGAGGCTGAGGGGCCATCAGAGAGAGGCCAAGAGTGAGAGAGAGAGGCCAAGAGTGAGAGAGAGAGGCCAAGAGTGAGGGAGAGAAAGAGAGAGGCGGGCCGAGAGTGGGAGGTAGGTGAGAGAGAGAGAGGGGAGGCCGGGGGGGGAGTGGCGAGAGAAAGAGAGAGAAGCCGAGAGTGAGAGAGAGAAGGAGAGAATGAGAAAGAGACAGAGAATGAGAGAGAGAGAGAACGGCCCACAGAGCAAGAGAGATAGTGAGAGAGCGCGACCCACAGAGCGAGAGGCCAACAGAGCAAGAGAGCGAGCGAGAGAGGACGACAGAGTGAGAGAGAGAGAGAGAGAGAGAGAGAGGCTGACAGCCAGAATGAGAGGGTGAGACGGAGGCAGAGAGAGAGCAGTCAGACACAGAGATAGCCAGAGAAAGTAAGAGAGAGAGGAAGAGACACAGAACCAGGGAGTTTCATATAGATACACAGAGGGAGAGAGCCACACTGCAACAGAGAAGGAGACAAAGTCTGAGACAGCCAGAGAAACAGTGAGAGCCAGAGAGCAACAAAGAGCGAGCCAAGGAGACACAGCCAGCCAGCCACAGATTCAAGAGGACAGAGTGAGCCACAGAGACAGACATGGGTAGGGAGAGAAACAGGCGTATCCCAGAGGCAGCAACAGAGCACAGAGATAGTGCTAGAGAGGAGAGACAGGGAGAGAGCCAGAGACAGTGACAGAGAGGGAGAAAGAAAAGGAAACAGAGCCAGCTAGAATCAGAGCCAAGAGGGAGTCCCAAAACCAGAGACACAGGGCCAGTGAGAGACAGAACAAGTGAGCCAGAGACAGACCTTGAGGGACAGAGCACCAGAGAGTGAGCGAGCAACAGAGCCAGTGAAAGCTGAATAGAAAGCTGGAGCTTGGGCACGGCACGGTGGCGCAAGTGGTTAAGGTCCTCGCCTTGCACGCCCAGGATCCCATATGGGCGCCGGTTCTAATCCCAGCAGCCCCGCTTCCCATCCAGCTCCCTGCCTGTGGCCCGGGAAAGCAGTCGAGGACGGAGACCCAGAAGAGGCTCCTGGCTTCGGATCGGCATAGCATCGGCCGTTGCGCTCACTTGGGGAGTGAATCATCGGATGGAAGATCTTCCTCTCTGTCTCTCCTCTCTGTATATCCGCCTTTCCGATAAAAATAAAATAAATCTTTAAAAAAAAAAAAAAAAAAAGAAAGCTGGAGCTTGCCAAAGATGGCAAGCTAGAATGAGAGAGCCAAGGGAAACCAGACATACCCCGTTATGTAGGAGAACTTGAGTTACTAGTACCCAACAGGGACAACAGAGCCCATGCCTCAAACCTGAAGCACACATAGGAGAGATTCTTCATTCTCCTTTCCAATGACAATGATACATTAGGCAGGAACACCGCGGACAACTTTAGGCAGGAACGCTGTGGACACTGAAGTTCAGAAATAACAATCTGGATCACCCCCACCCCCACTCAATGAAAAGAACTCTGAAGTACAAAAGCACTATTGATGAGTGAAGACAGCCTGGAGTCAGTGGTAAATTTGTTATGGAATGTTACCAAAGGAAGAATAGCAGCTATGCCTCTGTATCAGTGATCTGTGTGAAAGTTCTTGGACACACCAAAATAACCCTGTGGGGTATGTTTGAAAATATCTAATAGATGAGTGAAATGAAGCTCGGAGAGTTGGGCACATAGCTGGTGAGCAGCAGTGCCAGCACACTTCTGAACCTTGCATTCTTTTCTACCTGCCCCTATCAGGGACCACTCCATGCCTGCAGCAGACAGTACAGGGTCTACAGCAATGAGGCACAGTGATGGAGATCCATCTTCCATCTACAACATGCCCACAGTAACCAAAGCTAAGCCAGACTAAAGCCAGGAGCCAACAACTCCATTCAGGCCTCCCACGTGGGTGGCAAGAAGCTGGATTTGAAATAGTAGAACTCAAAGCAGCCGCTGTAATAGAGATGTGAGCATCCTAAGCAGGGATGGCCCAAGTCCTTGGGCCCCTGCACTCATAGGACACCCAGAAACTCCTGGCTTCAGATCAACCCAGCTCTGGCCAGTGCAGCCATTTGAGGAATGAACCTGTGGATGGAAAATTTCTTTCACTCACTCACTCACTCACTCACAGAGTAACTCTGCCTTTCAGATATTTTTAAAGACCTGACTTATATTTCAACATGGGTGAACCTTGCGTACATTGTGTTAATGAAGTAAGCCAGCCATAAAGACATTCTAAATAATCTGATCCCACTTGGACACCTACACTTGTCTAATTCAGACAGAAACTGGGACTTGCTAGGGAGGAAGCAAATACAGTGAGTTACTGTCGGAGCACGGAGTTAAATATGGGATGATGAAAAAATTTGGATGGTGGTGATGCTGCCAATACAAGGTGACTATACTTAATGCCACTCAACTATACGTTGACATGGTTAAGATGCTAAATTCCCTGTGTATTTTTAAGATGATTACAAATAACATACCCAGAAAAGATCCTTAGCTCAGTGACAAAAATGTACCCAATGCTCAAGGTCTTCTCCTTACCACCTGGGACCCTCCTGGGGGTCCTGAAGAATAAATTTCCCACCCCTGGATGTCACTATGTATGAGTCACATGGAAAACACCTGTTTCACTAAGCAGGTGACAGCCTGTGAAGGCCACCAGGATCCTTCTCTGCCTTCAACCGCCTGAAAAGCATTCCCTTTCCTCCCGCCTCTCCCTTCCCTGCCAAGTCCCTCCCATTTCCTCCCCATCGCCCCACCTTTCTCCTGCCTCGCTCCCTCCCCTTTGTCTCCTCCCACTCCCCTCCCTTTCCGTTGCAGATTTGCCTCTTAGAGGAAATTGAAACTGAAATAGGAAGCTGCTGAATTCCCTGATAAGGTGAGTGAACCCGCAGAACAAGCCACCCCTTTGCTAGGGAGATGTCTCGTCCACGCTGCAGATTCTGCCTTCCAGCTAGTCGGCAACTTCTCTGCAGCCCCGCAGCTCTACCCTAGCCCAAACATCCTTCCCCGCTGCCTGGGAGGAGGCGCGGCTGAAAGTAATTTCAGGCTGGATTGGAGCTCAGACGCCTGAGCAGGTACCTGGTCTGGGACTAGGAGAAAGGTAAAGTTAGGGGTAGGTGGTCTCCAGGGTTGCCCAAAGGAGCCCATGTGGGGAAACTCAGGTTCCAACCCCAAAAGGCTTTTGCTGAGAAGGGGCGGGACAGGATGTTTAGTGTTCAGGTTCAAGACTTTTAGCCCTAAAAGAAGTTCATAAGTACATTCATATCTGCCTGTGTATATTTCAAAAAGTTAATGAAAATGGAACTTTTCACTGATACAAAAAAAACTTTGAAATCCTTGCATCCATTCATAATATACATTTTCCATGAATTTTTATGCCCTCCCCCATATATTTTTATACATTACAAATACAGTGGGGCTGGGAATAGACAGAGACCCTGTACCTATAAAGATGAATGAAGATGTTACACAAAGCAGGTCACTCTCTGGCACAAAGAAGGCACCTGGCAACCAGCTGCTCATATCCTGTCCTCTAGCCGGGGTCCTGGGATGGAAGCAGGTCTGATCATCACAAAAGTGAAACTGTCAGGTTGATCTGAACCTCGCCCCCTCTTCCGGCAACTCTGTCCAGCTGGGTCACTGAGCCGTACTGTGGAAGAGATTGCCCTGCTGTTTGGGTTGATGATCTTTTCTCTTGCCCAGGTCCCCCACTTCATTCTCTCAGGTTTTCCTTTATTTTGTTTCTGTCCTGCAGATTTCAACCTTTTCTTTCCAGACCAAATTATCCCTAATCTATGCGGCACTGCCTGACAGGACCCGGACGGTCCCAGCAATGGCCTCAACAGCGACCCTAGCACTCATGTGGGAGGAGGTCACGTGCTCCATCTGCCTGGATGCCATGGTGGAGCCCGTGAGCATCAAATGTGGCCACAGCTTCTGCCAGGAATGTATCTCAGAGCTTGGGAAGGATGGGGGTGGCCTCTGCCCTCTGTGCAGGAACCCCTTTCTGCTCAGGAACCTACGGCCCAATCGGCATCTAGCCAGCGTGGTAGAGAACCTACAGCAAACCAGCCAGGCTGCCAAGGATGGCACACCAGGGGAGCGGTGCCCGAAGCATGGAGAGAGGCTTCACCTATTCTGTGAGGAAGATGGGCAGCTCCTTTGCTGGGTGTGTGCCCAGTACCAGAAACACCGCAACCACCACCACAAGGTCCCTATTGAGGAGGCTGCCCAAGAGTACCAGGTGAGGCCTTGCACAGAGGTGTGAACAGATCCAAGGGAGATGGGCCCTGGGGTGCTCAGAGAGTCGGGGGAAAGGAGCACTTTCCTTCTGTCATGTCTAATCTGAGCAGTGCTCTAGGCTCAACATGACCTTCTCATTGCGAGCACTATGGGAAAATGCTGCAGCACTTGTTTCCTTGTGGATTCCTGATCAACTAGGAGTGATAGATGCCCCCATCCTGCCAGGCGCATTGCTCTATTTTATAAGAAATGCTTTGGGCCTTTTCCAAAGGGCCCAGCCAGGCCTCAGTCCTCACTCTTTTTCTGCTCTTAGGCTTTTATCATCAGCAGCACATGCCACCCTACCCTACTTCTTGGTCTGTTTGGAGATTAACCTACCGCCTTTTTTTCTCCTTCCAGCGAAAGCTCCAGTTGGCATTGGAAAAGCTAAGAAAACAGCAGGAGCTGGCTGAGAAGTTGGAAGTGGATGTTGCAACAAAAAGAGCAGAGTGGAAGGCAAGAGTGAAAGAGGAGGGGACACTGAGAAGGCTGGGCAAGGTGCAGGGTCCTAGAGGCGGGAAAGCCTTAGCCCTGGCAATGCCTGTCTGTGGAGTGATAGTGTATCTCACTCAAAGAGCCAGCCATCCTCTCCAGATAGAGGAGAAAGAAAAGACGGAAGCTCAAAGAACTCCTAGGCAGGAACAGATTCACTGAACAAGCTCCTGCAAAGCTGCTGTCCCTCTGCACCCAGACTAAGGCTACCAGAGCATCAGTACTTCATTGTGTGGAGCAGGGTTATTCTGGAAAAGAGGCCCCAAGGCTGTGCCTTATAGGAGTTGAAAGGAATGGACCTCAGGGATCCATTCAGTCCTGTGATGGGAAAATCAGTGTGACCAGGCAATGGCTGTGCTGTGTCCAGGTCACTGGTCCAAAGGATAGTGGACAACCAAGGCTTGCTGTTCTCTGGCAAGTGGCTAGTACAGGTGAGGTGTGCCAGGAAGTGGAGAAGAGTACAAGAAGCTCAAGACCAGGTAGATCCCCAAAGAGAAAGATTTGGGATGCGGGAGCAGTAGATCAGAGTGTGACAAATCAAGGGGTCATCCTGCATCATTAGGCAACTGTCCAGCTGCTAGCAGGAGTAGGGACATGAAGAATGACCGAAGCCATCCTTTCCTGAGACTTGGGAATAGTAGTAGTGTGAGCCTGCCTGTGTGAGACTACTGGGGATGGGAACAGATATTATCTTATGACTCATGGAGTCACATTTGGATGATGGCTAAGTTTGGGAAAACAGGTTGAGGCACCCCTCTGATGCTAGTCCCAGAAGCCTCACTCACTTATGTGTTCATCAAAAGTGTGTGTGTGCGTGCGTGTGGGTGTGTGCATGCGTGCTTATTCCCAGTCAGCACCCAAGTAGTAAGTCTCCAGGTGAGAGAATTAAGTCCCAACACCTCCAACCCCAAAACTTGGGGAGATTTTCACAAAAACCACCTTTCTCTTTCCCTGAACACCAAAGACAAAGGTTGAGATGCACAAATCGAGGATTCACGCCGAGTTCATGCAGCAGCACAACTTCCTGGTTGAAGAGGAACAGAGGCAGCTGCAGAGGCTGGAGAAGGAAGAGAGGGAGCACCTGAGAATGCTGGGGGAGATGGAGGCCGACCTGGCCCAGCAGAGCCAGGCCCTGCAGGAGCTGATCTCAGAGCTGGAGCACAGGAGTCAGGGTTCGGCTCTGGAGCTGCTACAGGTGAGCCCAGGATGGAGGTCCAGAGAGCGACCAAAGGGAAAACTCGGGAACTACCATCAGCTCAAAGGCAAATGTGGCATCTGCAATAGTCTTAGAAAACACAAGCTGGAATTTGGATCCATGAACGGCTTATATTCAGTCTATAGAAGAGTTCACATCCAGAGGAGTATGCCATGCAACAGTTAACAGAAATGGGCATTCTTAGTGTCGGTTCTAACACATACCAGTATGGAACTGCGACAGTACTTTCCATGCACTGGGTTTTCCATATCTTAAATGGAGATTATCCTATTATATATCCTCACAGATTTTTGTGACAAAGGAAAAAATGTGGGCTGTAATTATGGCACAGCAAGGAAGCTACCACCCATGATGGTTGCATCTCATGGACACCAGTTCTAGTCCTGGTTGCTCCAACTCTGATCCAATTTTCTGCTGTTGGACCATCTCCCACTGCTTTCCTAGGTACAAGTGTTTGGGCCTCTGCCATCCTTGGAGGACAGATGCTTGGAATTCTGGACTCCAGGTTTCAGCATGGCCTGGCATTAAAGCCATCTGGGAAGTGAGCCAGTAGAATCTCTTCCTTTCTCCTTATCTCCCCCATCCTGTCTCTCCCCCCTACTCATCTCACCCCTTCCCTGATTCCGCCCTGCCCCTATCTCTCCCATACCCAACTCTGCCTTTAAAACAAACAAATCCTTATTTAAGAGCCTTTGTGGATTTCATCCCTTTTAGGAGTGTCTAGCCCTAGAAGGTTTTACTAAGTGCCATGTAGCAAAGCACTAGCTGGAACACAGAGTGACACTAGTCCACCTCAGCCCACCATCAAGTCTTCCCGTAGCTCTGGAAAAACCCTTTTCCTTTTGTAGACCCAATGTGTTTGCCTCATTTTAGGAAACTGGACAGATGGTCTCAGCAGTCCTTTCTGCTCTGCAGTTCTTTCCCTGTACCTTTTGCTGTCCCTGTCACATGTGGTCATGAAGCTTTCTAGTTTGTGCAAAACTATGTTACCGGCTTGACTTAGTAGGCTGTCTTCCATTTGACTTTCAACTAGGCTTGTTTTTCCACTTCTCAAGATCATTTACTTACTTGAAAGAAAGACAGAGAGGGAAATATAGAATAAGTTCTTCCATCTATCTGCTAGCTCAATTCCCAGATGCGTACTACAGCCAAAACTGGGCCAATCTGTAGCCTGGAACCAGAAACTCCATCCAGGTCTCCCACGTGGGTGGCAAGAATGCAAGCACCCAGGCCACCAGCTGCTGCCTGCCAGATCTGCTCTGAAAATGGGATCATAAATGCAAGTGGAACTCAATTCCATGCAGGTTTCTTCAAAACTCAAATAAGAGAATGATGCTACCACTCAACAATTCTATTCAATATAGGGAAGAAAGTCCTGGCCACAACAATTGCACAAGAAAAGAAATTTTTCAGAGTCCATATTTTAAAGGAAGTTAAAGGACTGGGCTTTTGGCTTAGATCAAGTGTGGTATGTTATTACCAACAAGGCTCTCAAATGCACTTTTGACTGGCCTGAGAGACTACCAGTTCCTATGTAAAGTCTCCCAACTCCCACAACAAAACATTCAAGGATACTTTGATGTCACATACAGAAAGAGTGAAACTCCACCACACAGGACAGTCACCTTGTCCTCTCTCCCCAGGAGCTCAAGCACACAGTGAAACAGAACTGTTTCTGCCATCTTGCCCTGGCCATTTCCTCATTGTAACCATCTGGGCTTTAGCCAGACTTGGCTGTGGTCAGCCTTCTTGTACCTTCCTCCCTCCATGAACATGGACTTACTTATTTGATTTCTGCAGCACAGCCCTTAAACTGAGGAGTGTTCCAGCTTTGGGTCCCACCCGTGCTGTATTTCTGCATACCCCAGAAGCATCCACACATGCTGCAGGCTCCAAGCTTGCCAGAATCCTCTCTGGAGCCTCAGCACAAAGTCCCAGAGACCACAGACTGGGACACACGACCCGTGGGACCAGGATCACAGGAATAAACTTACTCTTTTTCTTTTCAGGAGGTGACAGTCACCCTGGCAAGGTAAGAACTTTTGTTTAAGAAGAGGGAGCAGTAGGAATCAGATGCCGCCAATAAGTGTGACAGATTTTAAAAAGCCATGCCCTGTTGTGTCCCATGTCTGCTCCCATGTCTGCCCCCATTTTCTCAGAGAGACCCTCTATAAAATACCTCCTGGTCTCAAAAGGTTTACAAAGGGACAGCTCAGTTTGCAAACTGTCTAGAGGAATCTGGCTGTAATGTCTTCACAAAAAAAAAAAAAAAATCCAACAATCAGGAAAAGGGTAGCAGATTCTGAGGTTCTAGCCTGCTGGGTCTGCCTTTTCAGAAGAAAGCTACACAGTTACAAACCTACCAAAGAGCTGTTAGGCCCACAACCTGGGCCAGACCCCACATAGAAGTGACTCAGCCTAGGCCACCTGCCTTGCCTGTGAAATAAAGCAGGATGATGTGCTCACATGGTGAACCCAGGCTTGCAGAAAAATGTAGACACTTTGGGAAACAGGAGCTGCAGGACACACCCTCTCACACCCACTTCTGCCCCTGCCCAGGGGACCCAGACCCAAGAGGTGATTATAAGTTTATGTTGAACTATTGCAATCCCTGACCAAGGAGTTGTAGCCTTAGGGTTTGGGGATAAGGTGATGAAATGGAAGGAGTAGACGAGTCTCAAACTCTTTTCCACAGGAGTGAATCCTGGAGCCTAAAGGAGTTGACAGTCAACTCACCCAACCTGAGTGTGTGCCATGTGCCAGGGCTAAAGGAGATGCTAAGGACATGTGGCGGTAAGACAAGGAGCTGTGGGTGTGGGGCAGGAGGATGGAAAGCAGTTGGAGAGATGGCAGGTGGGGTAAAGATAGGAGGAGGGATTGTAATTCTTCACAAGCCCCACCTCCTCCTAGAGCATACACAGACCCCCCCCCACCACTGCATGCACAGGGTTCCCGATTCCCCACGGGCAGGGCCCCACTGTGCTTCTCTTCCTATAGTGCACATCACGCTGGATCCACAAACAGCCAACCCACTGCTCATCATTTCAAAGGATCTGAGACAAGTGAGGCTTGGTGACATCAAGCAGGAGGTGCCAGAGGACGAAGAGAGATTTGAGAATTACCCCATGGTCCTTGGTGCCCAGTACTTCACCTCCGGACGGTATTACTGGGAAGTCAATGTGATGGGAAAGACGGCCTGGGACCTGGGGGTGTGCAGAGCCTCAGTGCAAAGGAAGGAGGTCTTTATGCTCAGCCCTGAGAGAGGTTTCTGGACGATTTGGTTGTGGAACACAAAAACATATGAGGCTGGCACCTGCTCCCGGACGCCCCTCTACCTTCATGTGCCTCCACACCAAGTTGGAATTTTCCTGGACTGTGAAGCTGGCATTGTTTCATTCTATAACGTCACTGACCATGGCTCTCTCATCTACACCTTCTCAGAGTGTGACTTTGCTGGACCTCTGCGGCCCTTCTTCAGCCCTGGCTTCAATAATGATGGGGAAAATGCAGCCCCTCTCACTCTCTGCCCACTGGAGCTGGCATAGTCTGGGGTTACAGATCACTGAGGGCTCTGTTGCCCTGCAGACCCGGCCTCTTTTTCCCAGAAATGGAGCCACTTTTGCCTCTGCCAAGGTTTAGGACCCCAGGAAACCAGCTTTAGCAGGGAGGTCCCCTGAAAGTCAGCCATCAGATCACCTTCAACATCAGCATCGCAGCTCTGAATTGCTCCGGTTCCCTCCCATGAAGCAGACCCTGCATTCTCAGTCCAGACTCACCTGAACCATATGTAGTAGCTGCCTCAAGTTCTGTCACAGCCTCTCCATCCCCTTGGGCCAAATCTCTAGTACATCTGGGATGGTATGTGAATTTGCTTCCAAAAACAATTGTGCATCGGTCTGTTCTGTTCCGCCTTTGTTCCTTAAACCTGAAATACTTGGCAACCCTGGTTCATATTGATGTACCTTACTTCAAAATAATCATGGGAAATGCATACTATGACATGCATGTGTAGGCTTTCTCAACTTTTTTCACCAAAATAAATGTATTAAGTCCATTTTCCTACAAATTGAAGTATGGCTGAATATTTAATGTTGCACATTTTTCCTGCATGAGTTTTCCTCCCCCATTTCTGAACCTAGAATATTCATGGGGCTGAAAACTCCAGGAATTTTGAGGCTGCAATCGCTACCTGAGGGGAGGTCCCCCCTCATGTTGAAGGGACTCCTGGTTTTAAGACAAAGGTTAACTAGAGTGTGTATGGCTTTCTGGGCCTCTGTGTCTCTGGCAGAACTCAAATTCCTTTCTTCATGTTTCTGGTTGACTAGTGAATGGCACTGGTGGAGGGCCAAGGCCGGGGCCCCTCAGCCTTTTTTGTTCCTGGAAAATGGGACATTCTGGCTCCTCCTGGAATGTCCACTTTTGATATTATTCCTCTCTTGAAATTCCCCTTACTTGGGCTTTTCCAAAAGACTATGGGAGAACAGAAGGCATGTGAAAGCAGTGAGTGTGACTGCATCCTCAATTCTGAGGAAGTGTGAGCCTGGGTTCCAAGTCAGCAGACCAGACGTTATAAGAACTGGCTCGATTACTTTCCAGGTGCTTCTGCAAAGGACATCAAGCAAAGTAAGGGAAGACTCAGGAGGGCAAAAATTCAGCACCAAAAAGGGTCAGTGAGGTGGGTTGTCCATATCCTCCTTGTCTGTATGACCACACCACCTCCTCTTAAACATTTCCTCTTGACATTGGAAAGACAGGCATGGAAAACAAATCTTAAATATTTTAAATATCTGTAGGGCAGCAGATATTTGCTAGTGGCTGTACCTTCTCTATAGCTTAGTACTTATCCCTGGATGAAGAAACCAGGATGTATATATCATTGGAATACTACTCAGCCATAAAATATGAAATCATGGAGGCTGGTGCAATGGTTCAAATAGCTAATACTCTACCTTCAGGTGCCAACATGGGCATTGGTTCATGTCCCAGCTGCTTCAATTCCCATCAAGTTCCTTACTTGTAACCTGGGAAACCAGAGCAGGATGGTCCAAGTCCTTGGGACCCTGCACCTACGTGGGAGACCTTAAAGAAGCTCCTGGCTTTGGATACACTCAGCTCTGGCTATTGTGACCACTGGGGGAGCAAACCAGAAGACAGAAGGTCTCCCTCTGAATCTCTTTGTCTCTGTAAATCTGCCTTTCCATAAAAATAAGTGAATCTTAGGCCCAGCACAGTGGCCTAGCAGCTGACGTCCTCGCCTTGAACACACCAGGATTCCATACCGGTGCCAGTTCTAATCCTGGCAGCTCCGCTTCCCATCTAGCTCCCTGCTTGTGGCCTGGGAAGGCAGTGGAGGACAGCCCAAAGCCTTTAAAAAGATCATCTGATGCAACAAATTGATCTAATTGCAACAAATTAGAAACCATTATGCTTCATAAAATGCTGCAATCCAAAAACATGAATATCCTGTTTGATCTGTGACAACTAATATACAGAGGACAAAAAATGAAACTTTCACAAATAAAATTAACATCCTGGGATTTGGTTACTGTTTGCAGGCTTTCTATACACCCCTGATGAACAGAATTTGCATTTAATTTTTTCTCCATCAGCTACATTTTTATATATTTACCTACTAGAGTATTAAAGTGTGACTAGGGTGCAGATTATCAGAAGGCTGGATTGAAAGTGAAACATGATTTAAACAACACACTTCACTATGGGAAGTAAACATTCAAAGAGATCCTATCAGTGCAGCAAATCCCCAACCATGGGCTCAGCGTGGTAGCTTAGTGGCTGAAGTCCTCGCCTTGCATGTGCCAGGATCCCATTTGGGCACCAGTTTGTGTCCCAGATGTTCCACTTCCCACCCAGCTCCCTGCTTGTGGCCTGAGAAAGCTGAGGACAGGCAAAGGCCTTGGGACCCTGCACCTGTGTGGGAGACCTAGAAGAAGCTCCTGCCTCCTAGCTTTGCATCACTTCAGCTCCAGCCATTAAGGCCACTTGGGGAGTGAAATCAGCGGAATGAAGATCTGTCTTTCCTTCTCTCTGTAAATCTGTCTAATTAAAAAAATAAATAAATGTTTAAAAATAATACCACCCTGACCATCTTCCACAGAAATCCACAGAGATGGAAAGTGCATATTATGAAAATCTCATCATGGATTTTTTTTTTTTTTTGCACTAAGACATCTTTGTGCTTTTCTATGAACTTTTTCAAGTACTCTTACTTACACCAATTAACAGTAGTTTCAGATTTGTTACATTCATCTTAGGACAAATTTCAAACTATAAAGTAGGTTCAACATTAGTTTGCTGTTCTCTTTCAGCCATTTGATTGAGTCTAAGTACTGTGTTCAAAGTTACCTTGCATAAAGTTCTTTGTGTGTGTTATCTTTTTTGATGTCAGATAGCTTTAAGAAATTTTAAATTTTCTTATGCTTATTTTTTTATTTTTAATTGTAAGCCATTAGCATTTCAAGTCAAAATTTTTTCTTGCCCTGGCTGTTCTACTTCCTATCCAGCTCCCTGCTAATGCACCTGAAAAAGCAGAAAATAGACAATTATTTGCTTTCCTGTCAGCCACAGAAGAGATCCAATGGAGTCCCTGGCTCCTGGCCTCGGTGCGGCTGTCCCTGGCAACTGTGGTCAATTGTGGAGTGAACTAAAGGATGGAAAACAACCAATCTCTTTCTCCCTTTCAAATAAATAAAAGCTTAAAAACAATTTTACTTCACATGCCTCTGTGCATGGAGAGATGGCAGTCTTATTATCATTCACCCTTTTCCTCTCACATATTTTAAATATGAACATTCTTATGTGTGCTTTTTAAAGGTTTTATTTATTTGAAAGGAAGTGTTACAGCAAAAGAGAAAGGGCGACAGAGAGAGAGAGGTCTTCCATCCTCTGGTTCACTTCCCAAATGGTCACAACCACCAGGGCTGGCCAGGCACAGGGTGCAGGAGTGAAGGTGCTTGGTCCATCTCCCACTGCTTTCCCAGACACATTACCAGGCAGCTGTATTGAAAGTGAAGCAACTGGGACTCGAACCACCACCCATGCAAGATGCTGGTGCTACAGGTGACGGTTTAACTTGCTATGCTACAGTGCCAGCCCCTCTTGTATATGTTTAGCAGAATGTGTGTATGTATTCTATATTTGGGGGGAATATTCATCTAGAAGTACATAAACTATCCCAAATTTACAATACTTCACTTAGCATTTTTCGACTGCATCTTGGTGCAGAAGCATACCCATACAGTCATTCTGTGCTTCATACTCAGGACAGCAGCCAGTAAGCATGACACAGTCAACACTTCATTATAAAATAGGTTTGTGTTAGATGATTTTGCCAAAATGCCAATGTTCTGAGCACTTTTAAGGTGGAATACACCACGCTGTGATGCCTTTTATCTAAAATAGAACCTAAAATTGCCATTAGCTAACTATCCCGTTAGAAAATTAAAAAGATGGGGCCCCGCACAATAGCATAGCAGTTAAAGTCCTCGCCTAAAACACACCGGGATCCTATATGGGTACCAGTTCTAATCCCAGCACCCCTGCTTCCCATCCAGCTCTCTGCTTGTGGCCTGGGAAAGCAGCTGAGGACAGCCCAGCTGTTGCAGCCACTTGGGGAGTGAGCCATCGGACAGAAGATTTTCCCTTCTCTCCTCCTCTCTGTATATCTGCCTTCCAATAAAAATAAATAAAAATCTTTAAAAAAAAAAAAGAAGATTAAAAAGATGTCATTGTCCTTGAAAAGAGTTTCTGGATCAAATGGTTTGTTTTTCATTTGTTTGTTTTTATTTTATTATTATTGGAAAGACAGATATACAGAGAGAGAGGGAGAGACAGAGTAAGATTTTCATCTGCTAGTTCACTCCGCAAGTGGCCACAACCTTCAGAGCTGAGCCAGTCCGAAGCCAGGAGTCAGGAGCTTCTTCCCGGTTTCCCCATGGGTTTAGGGCCCAAGGCTTTGGGCTGTTCTCCACTACTTTCTCAGGCCACAAGTAGGGAGCTGGATGGGAAATGGAGTGGCCAGGACACAAACTGGCACCCATATGGAATCCTGATGCGTGCAAGGTGAGGTCCCTAGCCACTAGGCTATTGTGCCAGGCCTTGAATGAACTGTTATTAAAGATGACTAACAATCTGTCTGCTGAACAGGAAGGTGGTTCTGTGAAGGAAGAATAGAAGAGGCCCAAACCACGAATCCTGAGGCAAGATGACCACATTACTGAGCCAAGTCCAGATCCACAGGCAGAGTCAACCAGTGTCTTCCAGATAAACTGCAGGAGGAATCCAAAGAATTCACACAAATGAGGCTTTACTTGAGAATGACTGGCTTGTGTATGTGTCATGATCATAGGGGAAAAAAGATGTTAATGTAATCAAACAGTTCTGCTTTGTGTTTTTGCAGTGAAGCTGACCAGCATGTGATAATTATGGTGGGGAACAGACTGTCGCAATGATATAATCTTGTTTCTCAAAATTCAAATACTTTGGTATATCAACTTGGTTTCCAGTAGTAAAGATTTTGTGACTGTGCAACTATTGCCCAAGCCAACCATCGCTCATGTAGATACTCCTCCTTTTACACACAAATTATCTTGTGAGGGAACCAATGCTATGTGATAGCAAGCAAAGCTACTCCGTAAGGTGTCATCAGCTCTTATGGGCACCAGTTGAAGTCCTGAGTGCTCCACTTCTGATACAACTTCCTGCTAACCTGCCTGAGAAAGCAGCAGAGAATGGCACAAATGCTTGAGCCTTGCACCCTCGTGGGAGACCCAGACAAAGCTCATGGCTCCCAGCTTCACATGACCCAGTTCTGGCCACTGTAGCCATGTGGAGAATGAACCAGCAGACAGACAAAATCTCTTTTAAAAATAATCAGCAGACAGACAAAATCTTTTAAAAATAATCTTGAGAAAAAATAAAAGATTATACCAGTGCTAATTAACATTGTCCTTTAAAATTTAAATAAGCTTTGTTGAATTGCTGAATATTTAATTCTACTACTTCCTCTTGAATTAGGAAGCTCAAAAGTTATTATACCAAAATTTTTAA